GTTTATAACACCTATTAAACTCTCACCCATGTTTGGCTTGCTTTGACAAATAAACAACCACTATATTGTATAGGGACGTATAAACGAAATACGGTACTATATATATAATATATAGTTATATATATATATATGCGAACGCGTTCACTGTGCACTCACACTCACGATACATGATTGTGGGTAGCTGGCAGAATTTTATAAGCGGTCTAAACGCGCAGCAGGTTTTATAGAGATAGCAAATAGTAGTAGTAGAAGTAGTAGTGGACGTAGTAGTAGCAGTAGTAGTAGTAGTTGAGCCCATTAGTCACGCACTACTGTTTGATACCGCTACGCCCCTTGTACTGTTCTTGCCACTCCCAGTTCCTATAAAGCTAGTTGTCCACCTCTCCACTCAGCATCCTGACTTCACCAACCAGTAGTAGAACCATACTTACGTCATGCCGCTAACCGACTCAGGTCGTCCGTTACGTAGCACGCCATAAGCCAAGTAGTCACTAAGAGGGAGCGAGGCAAGACAAGCGAGAGGTTCGATCTGTTTCACGGTTAAGAAAAGAAAATTAGAAAACTGCCGAGGTAGTTGTCTTTAAGTTAGGATATCGTATTACATGGCGCTGATTTATGGTAATGGTCTACTAATTGGTTCGACATGATTGCGTAAAGTATTTTGTCTTCAGAGAAGGTTCGTTTGAAATTGTTTGTTTGGTGTAGAGAGTTATTAGTTTGTTGTGAGTTGTCTGCCTAGATTGTTGAGTTCGCGATGAGGATATGGTTAATATTGAATAATATGGGATCGATTCGTTTAGGTTATAGTCAGGATATGGTGTTAATATACATGAGTTTGAGGACGGCCACGAGATACACAACATGTGCGCGATCTGAGAGCAAGCTGGAGTCTAGACTGCCTACGAGTGCGACAGACACCATTGGAAAGTATTATGTTTGAGCAGTGTGTTGGTGTTTTGTTGGTGCATGTCTCTGGTTGTGGCTTGCGTCTAAGTTTATGTGGGGCGGCAAGCAGGTGGCAGCTCCCATTAGTATTGTGGCGCACCTTAAGCGCTTCGGTCGTATCGGATGTAATCGAGGAGCGCATTACCATCTAGAGTTGTCTGGTCTTCGACGATACCTAGTGGTTGTGTGGTGCCGTCAAAGCCGACTATATGTAAGCAATATATATGTGCTAGTTCGCGTTATGAATCGGTCATGCTCTCTGGCTTTGACTTCTTGTTCTGTTTTACGTTTTTTTTGCTAGTTTCAGATGAGAATATCCAGACGATCCGACCCACCAGAAGCAAGAATGATGCTGATAATTATGCAGGTGTATGATTCGATGTGATTTGACTCTCGCCTATCTTTGCGTGTTGATGATTGTGTCGACGTTGGGCGCGGTGGTCTTGTCGTGCTGAGACATACGGCTGCCAAAGCTCCGCTAATACGGCTGTAGTAGTTATTAGTGAGCTGTCTTTTCTTGGATCAGCTATTAATACTTATAATGATACAGTATGTATTATTATGTCTATAATTATCATTTTTAGGTTTAGTATTTTAGGTTTGAATGTGGTTAGATATTTACAAACTGGCCGTTATAACTCTAACGAATATGGACTGGCGGAGCGTGCACAACGAGTAGCTAATTATCAAACTCATGAAAGGATACGAGCCTGTTTATTAAACCTAACTGTATGACTAGCTCAATTAATCGAGTCTAATGGCAACTTTCATAACGAATCCAACACGAGAGACCGTCTCTATGTTTGAGAATTGAGTATGCTAACGCTATACGCATCTCTTGAGTGTACGATATCACTAAAATAATTGCCTAAGTTCTGAGTTGTTTAATGTTAGAACTTATCTATTTTGAGGAGAGCAATGAAACTAAGGGTTATTAACATAGAAATCGAGTACGCACCACACTCCACCACAGAGTGCACCAGCAGTAGACGTTAGATGAGGACATTGAGCTGAGGGGTTAACCGCGCTGATGACGTGATTCGAACATTTGTAAGTACATAATCATATATTACATAGCATTTAACTGTGGTTACATTCTGTTCTTGGGGAATAGGACCTGAGACGAATAAGACATATGTGGCTTGATAAGATTGTTTGAATATAAAAAAGCGACAGCTATATATATGCCATCGCAGTCCAAATATTCACACAAAAATTTAGTGACATTTTGGGACGGGTTGTTTTTCAGATTGTAGACTTGGGATACAACCTAAGTCAGAGATGATATTATATTTACCAATAGTCTATCGAGAATACCATGAACAAATTACGTCATTTCAGTACAATCGGCTCACATCATTATATATCTCTTTGATTAATAAGTACGTTTAGAGTAGGTGGATTGACCATATTGACTAATCATCAGTATCTCAGAACGGGCCTCCTATTTAGATGCAGGGTACTGTAGTTATCTGCCGATTGCACTCATCGTTGGCCTGGTCAATCTGGCGCGATACTGTAAGTGTACATTGATTAATAACTGAAGTATTTCATACGTGAAACTGTTGCCTTACATTTTTTGCAAATACAATTAGGCGAAATGTTCGGTGTTTTTTTCGGGGAAATAAGTTATTTAATTTCGGATCTTAATAACTTGCTACATGGTTTCAGCACTTTACTCTTGTGTATTTTTGCTCTCTCTTCTTATATTACTCTTGAATAATAAATATTATATTAGATTATATTATTATTATTATATATTCAATTGAGTAATTATTTCTCGCTATATATATCTAATGAAATTAATAACAGTCTCATTCATGAGAGCCGACGTCACGTAATTGTGCACGTCTGCTCACAGGAAGTGTGAAAAGTGCGCATGCCCACTACCATTCCTAAAGCTGGACTCCGCCTTGCAGCCACTGATCTGGGTCCAATGGATTATCCATTCAAAGATAATATTTTCGTACAGAATTAGAAGTATCTATTATCGTAGTATTAGTAGAATATATAACTGTGAAGTAGTATGGTTATTATATAACGCACCCACAATTCTTACCATTACCATACACATTACCACAAACCCCACAAAATTCTTCTTAATATTTACTAACACTTTTCCCATTATTAATAAGTAGTGTTAGTATATCTATTAGAGTACTGCTTACAAGTAAAGTGGCAGTGCGCAATTCCTACCGCAAAATATCGCAACTGACGCCTAGGGCGATAATACATTTATCGTTCCTAATAAAAGTTGGGAGAAAAGTGTTGACGCGGAAATATATACTTTTAACAGATTAATACGCGTCAGCTAGCAAATGGTATTTATACGATTTCAACATTTGCAATTTTTATGCTTGGTGTAGATTTTTTCCAGTTAAATGGTTTTTTAGGGGCACGATAATGAAAGAGTAATATATGAAATCCATGCGCATGAAAATTTAGGACAGTTAAAGGAGACAATTTGGAATCCCTATTGCAATATATCTGAAAAATTACTTAGTTTGCTAGTTAACTTACTGATTGTCTATAGTTTCCGCGAGATATTTTCTTTCGATAGCTAGAAAGATAGATATTTATTGAGTACCATTTGTCGACACATGCATTTATATATGCTCATGTGCAATTGTGAATAAAATTAAGGTAATGGTGACTACGGAACGAAATTGGCGTATATGGTGAGATTATGAAAAGCATGTCAGATATGAATTAGCAAGGCGAGTATGTTACACTACCCCTTCCCTTATATTAATAGGACTGATTAATGCGAAGATGTGGTTAGGCCTTACACTCGCTGTGGGTCGACCATAATCTAGATGTCAGTCTGAATACACTTTAAATAACTTGGCTGAAGCTGTGTTGTGTTCTCGTGAGAATGTCGAATCGCGTGGGCCGCATCCCGACACGGAAGAAACGTAGGTTAGAATATGCTATAATACAATGAAACGCAAATAAAAAGAACTGCATGATAAGCACGGACGTGGGCAGCATGTATCACGCACATTGCTTAATGCCGTATTAGTGGCGGCTGTCGCGACATACGTTTTACATCGCTATTAATGCAAATGAGCTCCCTGTCTCTCTTTCTCTGCCTGTCTCTCTCTCTTTATATATATATATATATATATATAAAAATATATAGTATATAGTATATTTTATATCTATACGTTATATGATATATAGTATAGCTTATATATATTATATACAATATATATATATACTTATTATATATACTAGCATTTAGGCAATTCAAGACGCAGTAATAGAGGCGTATAGGTGATTTCAAAAAAAAATAATTTCTCCCTGGAAACGTTTGAAGTGAGAGAATTTTTATTTAAATAGCCAACGGAAATCAAATGTCGGTAATCCGCGCGACGGAGTCGTGCGGCGTGCGTGTGCCAACGTGTATCGTAGTGGGCGTGTGATCCGTAGGTCAAGAGGGTACTCGTGAGCGACACATACATTCGCAGCGGGCGTGTATAGTAGTGGACGTGTATCGTAGCAGACGTGTATCGTAGTGGACGTGTATATAGTAGTGGACGTGTATCGTAGTAGACGTGTATCGTAGCAGACGTGTATCGTAGTGGACGTGTATCGTAGTGGACGTGTATCGTAGTGGACGTATATCGTAGTGGACGTGTATCGTAGTGGACGTATATCGTAGTGGACGTGTATCGTAGTGGACGTGTATCGTAGTGGACGTGTATCGTAGCAGACGTATATCGTAGCAGACGTGTATCGTAGTGGACGTGTATCGTAGTGGACGTGTATCGTAGCGGACGTGTATCGTAGCAGACGTGTATCGTAGCAGGCGTGTATCGTAGCGGACGTGTATCGTAGCGGACGTGTATCGTAGCAGACTTGTATCGTAGCAGGCGTGTATAGTAGTGGACGTGTATCGTATTGGGCGGCCTTCTACATGCTTCGTAGCTGATCTAGGCACGTGAGCTTGTTGTTTACCGATGATTCGGTCGACGCGTGCAAAACGTGAATGGCAAAAAATACGCGTTTCTAAATAATTGAACGCTCTCCACGCGAGCCATTAACATTTCATCTGCTATGGAATCCCGGCGTGTATCTTTTATTATTAATCATAGACGTGCGTACGCTGTCTGTATTTCCTATCGCCATCAGGGAACATTTTACATAATAAACATGCTGCCGCCGCGCATCCGGCGTATACATATACTTAGCGTACATGCCTACTTAGCCGTACATCTATCGACACAGCTACAGGCGTTATGTCGGCGCGTGATTACATCCCTGTTAGTGTATACTCGAAAAATTGCATCTCGCTGAAAATTCCTCAACTTTAACATTACACCTTTACTACAGTTACTTATAAATAGGGATTAGTAATAGATCTTACTAATTAAAATAAAAATAACATGATTGTTAAGACGATCACCACTGATTTATCATTAATCAGTAATCAGTATATCACATTCTGGTCGAGCGCGTTGTTTATAGCCGTGACTTCGCCTGGAATCTCCGCATGCTGAATGGAGTCGTATCGTAGGAGGTCTTGCATCCCAACACCATCTCCGCCAGCACTTTCCCTAGTACCGGAGCCAGCTTGAACCCAGTACCTGCACAAATAGACATTCAGTCTAGACTGAATCTCCGACTTAATCGCGTCAAGAATAGGTGAGCATGATCAATCGTCACGCGATAACGGTAAACTGCGGTTAATCCCGTATCGATTAATTATCGATAGGCGAGTATGAACGAGCTTGTGCGCTGCTCAAAAACGGACGAAGAAGGCGAATGAAGCCATCGGTGGAATCAATCACCGCGTTTATATAGAGTTTACTTTGATGTAACGGCTTTAGAATACCGACTGCTTATGACTGCCCAAAATAATGACCATGATAATAACAAAGAGGTCGTTGTCAGAAACATTTTAACCGTTATGTTATCGTTTTTGTATACTAGTATGTTTTGTGTTATAGTGCTGTCGTAGTGGCTACAGTGATTCTAACAACGACCACAGCGAAAATGACATCAGGTTACGTGCTTCACGGACCGCGACAGGTGGTCAGCCGAAGCGATAGCGTGGCGTCATCGCTCGTTCGCCGCCGCCAGCACCACCTGTCGGCGGCCTATTAGAAACGACGTGACATTTTCTCTGATGGCGATTTCTTGCTTCTGTGCAATTAAATTACGAGCGAGCGAGCGAGTACACGTGTGCCTAATGTGCTTGGGTATATACCGGAGAATCCAGCGGCGAAAATCACATTAGCGTGCTGCGGGTGTCTGTCTATGATGCAGACCTCATCTGGCGTCACCTGCGGACATATAGACAACGCAATATATATATATATAAATATATATATATACATAAGGATGTATGTATGTATGTATATCTATATATAATTATAGAGAGAGAGAGAGAGAGAGAGAAATGAAATTGATAGATAGAGATTGTCATGAAGTTACGCACTATTTGATTACATGCCACACATGCGCACACGCGCGCGCGTATATATACGCGCCTTTTTTCCGGCGGGCTTTTTTCTGTCATTTCTGACAATATTTCTACGAGTGGCGATATGGAAATGTGACTGCATTTTGAGAACGCGCTTGCTACACGCTCTCTTATGCGAATGCATTCAGCTGGGCCGAGAGGCCTGCACAAGCAGGCGTGCACAGTAAGCAGGTTAATTTAATATGCATAAATGATTATATAGCAACATGGTGCTTAGCCAGCTATACTGCGTGTACTGTGCGCTGTACGATGTGATCAAATGATGATTTTACGCATAATTATTGTTGAGATTAAACTCAGAGTTGTTTTTTAAATTAATTCTAAGTGTATCTGTTGTGATTATTTGTAGATTGCTCACTATTTTGAAGGTAATTTTACACAAACACAATCATTTTTGTGCCGGTCGGAAGGATGTTATTTAAAGCTGCGAGCCGGTCGGCCAACACCAGAGCCGGCTATTACCGACCGGCGCCGACCGGCGTAGCTACGACGGTAGTTCAGTATAATAAGGGTTTCAGTATACTAAAGGTATCAGTAGGGTAAAGATTCAGTAGTCTAACGGCATCTGTAAAATAAAGGCTTAAGTATTTTAATGACTTCAGTAGGCTAAAGGTATCAGTAGGGTAAAGGCTTCAGTGTCATAAGGACTTCAATAGACTAAAGGTATCAGTAGAATAAAGGCTTCAGTGTCATGAGGACTTAAATAGACTAAAGGTATCAGTAAGGTAAAGGCTTCAGTGTCATGAGGACTTTAGTAGACTAAAGGTATCAGTAGGGAAAAGGCTTCAGTGTCATGAGGACTTCACTAGACTAAAGGTATCAGTAGAATAAATGCGTTAGTGACATGAGGACTTCAGTAGACTAAATGTATCATTAACAAAAAGGCTTCGGTGTTATGAGGCCTTCAGTAGACTATATGTATCGGTAGAATAAAGGCTTTAGTAGCCATAAGGGCTTCAATATATCAAACGTTCAAGCACGCCAATTAACGCGAGCGCACATACAAGATGGGAACTTCGAGTGGCAGTATGTATTTATACGACTGCGTGTGTATGAAAGGCGTGTGATGCGTGGTGCATGGCGACAGCCTCTGGGGGTGAGAGACGGACTCAGATTGTGGAGCAAAATATAATGATTAGCCTAATATATACATAAATACCCTTAAAATAAACGCAATGAAAAGAATAGAACGAACTTCTCGCCTTCCTCACTCTATAATCCTTTCGCGCGCGTGCTCGAAACTGGCACGAAGAAAAGCCTCGTCATTATCATTAAGTTCACAAATTATGTGAACGCCCACCTGGTAATGTTCCATTCGGCTACGCAGCCCTGTGTTTATACTCTTACAGCGCCATAAATACGATTCTGCTACTACTAAAAGTTCCATCGAATATCCTAAGTGCACAGTTAGCGACAGACACGGTACAACATTGTATCACACGCTTTGATTGTAAACGCGTTGATCGCGCCGGCGGGCAACTGCTACGGCCACACGTTGTGACGTCACCGCCCGCGGCATTCGCACGTCACCGTGTACATGCACGTTCCCATATGCGGGCCCGTCGCGCGCGTCCAGCCCGGTATGTAATTTGCTAGCATAGATCGGATTAGCACGCAGAGCGCGGTAATGATAGGGGCCGCGGGGGGGGGGCTTGAGACTCTCTGTCACGATTATCCGGGTAAGCTGCACATTAACTGCGGTGAGCCTGCCAAGCTAAAATAATAAACAATACAATAACAATAATCATTATTATTAATATTGATTATTAGTATTAATAATCATCATTATTATTATTAATAAAAATTAAAAAATTAACATAATAATGATCAATATAACCTAGTAATATATAATAAATTATGAAAAGCTAAATGCTAATCCTAAATGTTCAATGCTGAATGGCTAATTCTAAATGCTAATCCTACATGCTAGACGCTAACGCAAGTCAAAGTCCACCACGCCACACGCCAACGCGCAAAGCCCGAAGATAACGCAGACCGCTAATACTACACACTAGTTGAGTCAATCAACCGCTCCGTTTACTTACCTAAACCATACATACATGCCACTGATCATACCTTGACGTGACCTGGATACTCGTCGCTTGGTAGAAACCAAAAGTAGTTCTCCGGATCAGATCGTTTAAAGTCGCATATCACAGGACACCGGCTGAAGTGTAGGTTCTCCTGGTCCGCTTCTCCCGCAGTAGGGCACGTTTCACTCGCACGCGTCTGCACGCACGTAGCAC